TCACTTTTGAAGTGTTTTCTTGTACTTTTAAGCCACTCAGATACCCTACGGGCTCGGAAAGTGCAACGAAACCATCAAATTTTAGCTAGAAACTGTATTTTTGTCGATTTTTATTGAATTTGAACTATATTTCAACGTTTTTTGATGGTTCTGAGCCACCAAACACACTTAAAGCATGCAGAATCGACTCAGAATAGGAAAAGGAGACGTTTAGGTCAATTTTATGCATTCTGGCGTTCGTAGATACAAGAAAACTGTTAAAATTCTTCAGAAACGTCACTTTTGAAGTGTTTTCTTGTACTTTTAAGCCACTCAGATACCCTACGGGCTCGGAAAGTGCAACGAAACCATCAAATTTTAGCTAGAAACTGTATTTTTGTCGATTTTTATTGAATTTGAACTATATTTCAACGTTTTTTGATGGTTCTGAGCCACCAAACACACTTAAAGCATGCAGAATCGACTCAGAATAGGAAAAGGAGACGTTTAGGTCAATTTTATGCATTCTGGCGTTCGTAGATACAAGAAAACTGTTAAAATTCTTCAGGAACGTCACTTTTGAAGTGTTTTCTTGTACTTTTAAGCCACTCAGATACCCTACGGGCTCGGAAAGTGCAACGAAACCATCAAATTTTAGCTAGAAACTGTATTTTTGTCGATTTTTATTGAATTTGAACTATATTTCAACGTTTTTTGATGGTTCTGAGCCACCAAACACACTTAAAGCATGCAGAATCGACTCAGAATAGGAAAAGGAGACGTTCAGGTCAATTTTATGCATTCTGGCGTTCGTAGATACAAGAAAACTGTTAAAATTCTTCAGGAACGTCACTTTTGAAGTGTTTTCTTGTACTTTTAAGCCACTCAGATACCCTACGGGCTCGGAAAGTGCAACGAAACCATCAAGTTTTAGCTAGAAACTGTATTTTTGTCGATTTTTATTGAATTTGAACTATATTTCAACGTTTTTTGATGGTTCTGAGCCACCAAACACACTTAAAGCATGCAGAATCGACTCAGAATAGGAAAAGGAGACGTTTAGGTCAATTTTATGCATTCTGGCGTTCGTAGATACAAGAAAACTGTTAAAATTCTTCAGAAACGTCACTTTTGAAGTGTTTTCTTGTACTTTTAAGCCACTCAGATACCCAACGGGCTCGGAAAGTGCAACGAAACCATCAAATTTTAGCTAGAAACTGTATTTTTGTCGATTTTTATTGAATTTGAACTATATTTCAACGTTTTTTGATGGTTCTGAGCCACCAAACACACTTAAAGCATGCAGAATCGACTCAGAATAGGAAAAGGAGACGTTTAGGTCAATTTTATGCATTCTGGCGTTCGTAGATACAAGAAAACTGTTAAAATTCTTCAGAAACGTCACTTTTGAAGTGTTTTCTTGTACTTTTAAGCCACTCAGATACCCAACGGGCTCGGAAAGTGCAACGAAACCATCAAATTTTAGCTAGAAACTGTATTTTTGTCGATTTTTATTGAATTTGAACTATATTTCAACGTTTTTTGATGGTTCTGAGCCACCAAACACACTTAAAGCATGCAGAATCGACTCAGAATAGGAAAAGGAGACGTTTAGGTCAATTTTATGCATTCTGGCGTTCGTAGATACAAGAAAACTGTTAAAATTCTTCAGAAACGTCACTTTTGAAGTGTTTTCTTGTACTTTTAAGCCACTCAGATACCCTACGGGCTCGGAAAGTGCAACGATACCATCAAATTTTAGCTAGAAACTGTATTTTTGTCGATTTTTATTGAATTTGAACTATATTTCAACGTTTTTTGATGGTTCTGAGCCACCAAACACACTTAAAGCATGCAGAATCGACTCAGAATAGGAAAAGGAGACGTTTAGGTCAATTTTATGCATTCTGGCGTTCGTAGATACAAGAAAACTGTTAAAATTCTTCAGAAACGTCACTTTTGAAGTGTTTTCTTGTACTTTCAAGCCACTCAGATACCCTACGGGCTCGGAAAGTGCAACGAAACCATCAAATTTTAGCTAGAAACTGTATTTTTGTCGATTTTTATTGAATTTGAACTATATTTCAACGTTTTTTGATGGTTCTGAGCCACCAAACACACTTAAAGCATGCAGAATCGACTCAGAATAGGAAAAGGAGACGTTTAGGTCAATTTTATGCATTCTGGCGTTCGTAGATACAAGAAAACTGTTAAAATTCTTCAGAAACGTCACTTTTGAAGTGTTTTCTTGTACTTTTAAGCCACTCAGATACCCAACGGGCTCGGAAAGTGCAACGAAACCATCAAATTTTAGCTAGAAACTGTATTTTTGTCGATTTTTATTGAATTTGAACTATATTTCAACGTTTTTTGATGGTTCTGAGCCACCAAACACACTTAAAGCATGCAGAATCGACTCAGAATAGGAAAAGGAGACGTTTAGGTCAATTTTATGAATTCTGGCGTTCGTAGATACAAGAAAACTGTTAAAATTCTTCAGGAACGTCACTTTTGAAGTGTTTTCTTGTACTTTTAAGCCACTCAGATACCCTACGGGCTCGGAAAGTGCAACGAAACCATCAAATTTTAGCTAGAAACTGTATTTTTGTCGATTTTTCCGAGCCCGTTGGGTATCTGAGTGGCTTAAAAGTACAAGAAAACACTTCAAAAGTGACGTTTCTGAAGAATTTTAACAGTTTTCTTGTATCTACGAACGCCAGAATGCATAAAATTGACCTAAACGTCTCCTTTTCCTATTCTGAGTCGATTCTGCATGCTTTAAGTGTGTTTGGTGTCTCAGAACCATCAAAAAACGTTGAAATATAGTTCAAATTCAATAAAAATCGACAAAAATACAGTTTCTAGCTAAAATTTGATGGTTTCGTTGCACTTTCCGAGCCCGTAGGGTATTTGAGTGGCTTAAAAGTACAAGAAAACACTTCAAAAGTGACGTTTCTGAAGAATTTTAACAGTTTTCTTGTATCTACGAACGCCAGAATGCATAAAATTGACCTAAACGTCTCCTTTTCCTATTCTGAGTCGATTCTGCATGCTTTAAGTGTGTTTGGTGGCTCAGAACCATCAAAAAACGTTGAAATATAGTTCAAATTCAATAAAAATCGACAAAAATACAGTTTCTAGCTAAAATTTGATGGTTTCGTTGCACTTTCCGAGCCCGTAGGGTATCTGAGTGGCTTAAAAGTACAAGAAAACACTTCAAAAGTGACGTTTCTGAAGAATTTTAACAGTTTTCTTGTATCTACGAACGCCAGAATGCATAAAATTGACCTAAACGTCTCCTTTTCCTATTCTGAGTCGATTCTGCATGCTTTAAGTGTGTTTGGTGGCTCAGAACCATCAAAAAACGTTGAAATATAGTTCAAATTCAATAAAAATCGACAAAAATACAGTTTCTAGCTAAAATTTGATGGTTTCGTTGCACTTTCCGAGCCCGTAGGGTATCTGAGTGGCTTAAAAGTACAAGAAAACACTTCAAAAGTGACGTTTCTGAAGAATTTTAACAGTTTTCTTGTATCTACGAACGCCAGAATGCATAAAATTGACCTAAACGTCTCCTTTTCCTATTCTGAGTCGATTCTGCATGCTTTAAGTGTGTTTGGTGGCTCAGAACCATCAAAAAACGTTGAAATATAGTTCAAATTCAATAAAAATCGACAAAAATACAGTTTCTAGCTAAAATTTGATGGTTTCGTTGCACTTTCCGAGCCCGTAGGGTATCTGAGTGGCTTAAAAGTACAAGAAAACACTTCAAAAGTGACGTTTCTGAAGAATTTTAACAGTTTTCTTGTATCTGCGAACGCCAGAATGCATAAAATTGACCTAAACGTCTCCTTTTCCTATTCTGAGTCGATTCTGCATGCTTTAAGTGTGTTTGGTGGCTCAGAACCATCAAAAAACGTTGAAATATAGTTCAAATTCAATAAAAATCGACAAAAATACAGTTTCTAGCTAAAATTTGATGGTTTCGTTGCACTTTCCGAGACCGTAGGGTATCTGAGTGGCTTGAAAGTACAAGAAAACACTTCAAAAGTGACGTTTCTGAAGAATTTTAACAGTTTTCTTGTATCTACGAACGCCAGAATGCATAAAATTGACCTAAACGTCTCCTTTTCCTATTCTGAGTCGATTCTGCATGCTTTAAGTGTGTTTGGTGGCTCAGAACCATCAAAAAACGTTGAAATATAGTTCAAATTCAATAAAAATCGACAAAAATACAGTTTCTAGCTAAAATTTGATGGTTTCGTTGCACTTTCCGAGCCCGTAGGGTATCTGAGTGGCTTAAAAGTACAAGAAAACACTTCAAAAGTGACGTTTCTGAAGAATTTTAACAGTTTTCTTGTATCTACGAACGCCAGAATGCATAAAATTGACCTAAACGTCTCCTTTTCCTATTCTGAGTCGATTCTGCATGCTTTAAGTGTGTTTGGTGGCTCAGAACCATCAAAAAACGTTGAAATATAGTTCAAATTCAATAAAAATCGACAAAAATACAGTTTCTAGCTAAAATTTGATGGTTTCGTTGCACTTTCCGAGCCCGTAGGGTATCTGAGTGGCTTAAAAGTACAAGAAAACACTTCAAAAGTGACGTTTCTGAAGAATTTTAACAGTTTTGTTGTATCTACGAACGCCAGAATGCATAAAATTGACCTAAACGTCTCCTTTTCCTATTCTGAGTCGATTCTGCATGCTTTAAGTGTGTTTGGTGGCTCAGAACCATCAAAAAACGTTGAAATATAGTTCAAATTCAATAAAAATCGACAAAAATACAGTTTCTAGCTAAAATTTGATGGTTTCGTTGCACTTTCCGAGCCCGTAGGGTATCTGAGTGGCTTAAAAGTACAAGAAAACACTTCAAAAGTGACGTTTCTGAAGAATTTTAACAGTTTTCTTGTATCTACGAACGCCAGAATGCATAAAATTGACCTAAACGTCTCCTTTTCCTATTCTGAGTCGATTCTGCATGCTTTAAGTGTGTTTGGTAATAATACGCACATTGGTTATTATTCTATATTAAGGTTGAAGATGACTTGTGTTAACAGCTGGATGGTTGGAGGATGAGAGAGCGTTGAGAAGCCGAACATTACAATTCAAGCCTATCGCATGCGCAGTACCCTTAGTACAATACTTGCGTACATACCATATATCTCCCCCCCTATTCTGTTGACACTTATAGTACTATGAATTACATTTTGCACTTAAACTACACATTTTACTTAACTAACATAATCTCTTAAACTATCACATCTTACTCTAACTATTTTCCCTCTCCCTCCTTTCGTTTAACATTGACTAAAAGATAAGAAGAGAAAAAAAAAATCATTGTCTATATCTTGGAGGTATCTTAACATCTCTTTTTGGTCGGTGTACTATGGATGATTGTTGAATCATTTGAGGTAATAAAGTGTCATGATCTGAAATATCGTTTGGAAGCGCAGTTGTCTCTGATGTGCCAGGTATGGGATGAATGTCTTCAGGATGAGTATCTGATCTGAAATAGAATCCCACAGGCAAACCCGTGTATCTCTGCAATGCAAATTTGTTATTCTTTTTTTCTATCTGTTCTGCGGACATTTCGGTTTCTGCAACTGCCGACCTAATTTGATTCAAGTGTCTCTTCCACAATTGTCCCGATTGCAATCTACATAGGTATACCACTCTACCAAGTTTTTTTGCAATCTCAGCCCTTATCCATGATTTGTGGTTGAGATTCCTATAATCACGAATAATGACTGAGTCACCTATCTCAAAATTTCTAAATGTTTTCTTACAGGAAGTCGTCTCTACTATTGCAGATCGTGTTTTTAGCAAATCTAAACGTAGTCGTAATTTTCTGCCAAACATTAATTGAGCTGGTATTTCACTTGAAGTACTATTAGGGATATTATTATGAATTAGCAAAAATCTACATAATAACGTTTGAATATTAACACTACGATTATTAGAATCACTTAATGCTGATTTCAGTTTATTCTTGACTATCTTAACACTACATTCCGCTGGACCGTTGCTTTGCGGGTTGTAAGGTGGTGTTTTAACATGTTTAATACCATTATTATGAAAAAAATGTTCAATTTCGTCGGATACTAACGACGTGCCATTATCAGATACGATTGTAACAGGTAAACCAAATCGCGCGAAACATTCTCTTAATTTCTCTATCGTTGTCTCCGATGACAAATTTTTAACTAAATACGCGTCGATCCATTTAGAGTAATAGTCGATTATTACCAAGAAATTGTGATCCCGTAGGTTAAAGTGATCGATATGAATAGTGGTAAAAGGTTCCGAACATTTCGGCCATGGTGCCACTGATTTTGGCGGACTTGATCTAGTTATTAAACAGTGATTGCAAGATTTACACATGTTTTCTATTTCCTTATCGATTTTAGGAAACCAAAGATAAGAACGAGCTAACGCTTTTGTTCGTACTATGCCTTCATGTGAACTGTGTAATTCTTTCAAGACTGTTTGTTGTAATAACGTTGGTATTACTACTCGATGACCATAATATACGCACTCATTAATTATGTCTAATTCCAATTTTCTACAGAAGTATGGTCTTAACTCCCCCTCTACTTTCTTTGGCCAATCGTTCAAAATAAAATATTTTACTTGAGATAAAAGTCTATCATTATTTGTTGCCTCGACTATCGTTTTATTATCCACTGGTGAGTCTAAACTAGCAAATAAAATATTCTCCATATCATTGTCCTCACTGGAATCTACTTTTAAATTTAAAGGCAATCTTGAGAGACAATCAGCTACGGAATTCGACTTTCCGCTGATATGTTCGATCTCGAAATTAAAATTGGAAAAATAAAGCGCGTATCTTTTGATCCTGTTTGCGTACATAGGATTAATGTCTGTTTTCTTGCCAAATATGCCTATTAGCGACCTTTGATCTGTTTTTAGAGTGAATTTCTTGCCGTATAAATATTGCTCGAATTTGTTAATCCCAAAATAGCAAGCTAGCGCCTCTTTATGTACCGTCGAATAGTGCCGTTCCGCATTGCTATAAGTTCTCGATACACACGCGACTGTACGTTCAACACCGTTAACATTGTGGGATAATATAGCTGCTATACCTGTTTCAGAGGCATCACAGGTTACTATTATTGGTAATTCGGGGTTGAAGTACATTAACACATTGTCTGATAAAATAACTTCTTTAATTTTTGAAAATGCTTTCTCGCAAGCTTCTGACCATTGAAATCTGACGTTACTTTGAAGTAACTTGTACATTGGTGACAATATATCTGTGATATTAGGTACAAACTTAGAATAATATCCTACCATGCCTATGAATGATCTAAGTTGTGTGATATTCTTTGGTTGTGGTGCATTTGAAATAGCTTTAACTTTGTCTTTATTTTTAGTTAATCCTGCAGCTGTTAGATCAAAACCTAAATAAGAAATTCTATCTTGACTAAATTTACACTTATCAAGATTTACCGTTAAACCTGCATCAGATAGTATTTGAAAAACTTTCCGTAATATTAGCATGTGATTTTCATTTGCTCTATGACCTACCAATATATCATCTTGAAATACAAAAACATTATCTACACCTTGAAAAATTTGTTCTATATGTTTTTGACAATAAAAACTAGCACATTTAATTCCAAATGGCATACGATTCATTTTGTATAATCCCTTATGTGTGGATATTGTGACTAAATGCTTTGACTTCTCATCTAATTCAAATTGTCGATAAGCGTCCTTTAAATCGATTTTAGAAAATTTTACGTTATCGTGCAACGATGCAAAAATCTGTTCAATTTTTGGTAAAGGGTAATACACATCCTCTAAACATTTATTTAGCCCAATATAACTACCGCAAATTCTGACATTACCATTTTTCTTTACCACGGGTACAATATAGGAAGACCACTCACTCGTAACAATAGGTGAGATGATATCCTTTTGTTCCAATCTCTGTAATTCAGCTTCGATTTTATCTTTTAAAGCGAGAGGTATCGACTTTGGTCGTTGATGAACCGGAATAACATGTGTTTTTAATTGCAGAGACACCGTAGCATACCTGAATTTTCCAATTTCATCCGTACACACTTCAGGAAATTCCTGCCTTAGTACCTCAGCGACATCTGCCTCTCCTAACTTGTTCACTCCTACAAAATTTCCTATTAGATTAAATTTGTCTATAAAATCCCTGCCTAATATGTTCACAGTACCATTACTAATTACATAGAAATCTAAATAATGCGACATTTTGTTATAGTTTACTTTTACATTTACTGTTCCTATTGTAGTTATTACTTCGCCTGTATAACCTCTAAAATTTGTACTACAGCTTTTCATGGTAACATTAGACAAATATTGATCATAGAAAACTCTGTTAATAGCTGACACTGGCGATCCACTATCTAATTCCATTGTGACTAACTGATCATTGACTTTAACAACTATTTTTATCGGCTTTATACCTACACTATTAATACAATCTATCGTGTTGATCGCATCACCCCCTTGATACTGATTACTGACCTGTTCGTTTTCTTCACACAAGTTCATGTACTTTACCGCTTTGCCTCTTGTTCTACACATGGATTTTAAATGTCCTATCTTGCCACAATTGTTGCACCTGTATTTCATGTACTTGCATAATCCTCCATGGTTTTTTCCACATCTTCCGCATTGTCGCTCTTGAGTCTTCATGCTTGTTTTGTTTTGTCTGTGGTTTTTGTTGACTGTCCAAGCCCTGGATGGTCCCTGTTTCTCTGGTTGGCTTTCATTGCTCTGTCCTCTCTGTTGTTCTTTTATGACGTGAATATTTCCTCCATTCTCATTTCCTTTATATGAATTTGCCATCGCCGTCTCCTTTGTAATCGCGATTTTCACAAGGTCTTCAATCTTCTTGGTCGCGTCTTCTTCAACTAGACGATCTAACACCGCTCCTTGTCTCATACCAGATATAAATCTGTCCACTAATACTTCCTGCAGTGACTTGAAAGCGCAATTTATTGATAATCTTTTTAACCTCGTGTACCAATCTAAACATGTTTCATCGGTGTTTTGCGTTGCCTTGTAGAATGTTATCCTTTCCCTGAACACATTTATCGGGATACTATACTGTTCCTTTAGCAACTGTACCAAATCCTCGTAGCTTTTGTCTTTTGGCATGTCCGGAAAGCACCTGTCCCGTATCGTTTTGTACGTTTCCATTGAGAGATAACTAATCAGCACTGCCACTTTTTTTGTTGGTTCGATAGCGTTTGCATCACAATATTGCTCGAAGAGTTCATTATAAATAGTAAAATCCATAGATGCGTCATACCTTTCCATTGACCCAATATTCTTCGTCTCTCCCGTCATGGCTTTTATTGGTTAACCACGTGTTTCTCTGGAGATAGTACTTACGACTTTTTCTTCACTTCTACACGACTTTTTTTTCTTCACATCTACTTTGACCTTATCTTCAGTTTATCCTCGTCGCCATGGTATGTTTGGTAATAATACGCACATTGGTTATTATTCTATATTAAGGTTGAAGATGACTTGTGTTAACAGCTGGATGGTTGGAGGATGAGAGAGCGTTGAGAAGCCGAACATTACAATTCAAGCCTATCGCATGCGCAGTACCCTTAGTACAATACTTGCGTACATACCAGTTTTCTTGTATCTACGAACGCCAGAATGCATAAAATTGACCTAAACGTCTCCTTTTCCTATTCTGAGTCGATTCTGCATGCTTTAAGTGTGTTTGGTGGCTCAGAACCATCAAAAAACGTTGAAATATAGTTCAAATTCAATAAAAATCGACAAAAATACAGTTTCTAGCTAAAATTTGATGGTTTCGTTGCACTTTCCGAGCCCGTAGGGTATCTGAATGGCTTAAAAGTACAAGAAAACACTTCAAAAGTGACGTTTCTGAAGAATTTTAACAGTTTTCTTGTATCTACGAACGCCAGAATGCATAAAATTGACCTAAACGTCTCATTTTCCTATTCTGAGTCGATTCTGCATGCTTTAAGTGTGTTTGGTGGCTCAGAACCATCAAAAAACGTTGAAATATAGTTCAAATTCAATAAAAATCGACAAAAATACAGTTTCTAGCTAAAATTTGATGGTTTCGTTGCACTTTCCGAGCCCGTTGGGTATCTGAGTGGCTTAAAAGTACAAGAAAACACTTCAAAAGTGACGTTTCTGAAGAATTTTAACAGTTTTCTTGTATCTACGAACGCCAGAATGCATAAAATTGACCTAAACGTCTCCTTTTCCTATTCTGAGTCGATTCTGCATGCTTTAAGTGTGTTTGGTGGCTCAGAACCATCAAAAAACGTTGAAATATAGTTTAAATTCAATAAAAATCGACAAAAATACAGTTTCTAGCTAAAATTTGATGGTTTCGTTGCACTTTCCGAGCCCGTAGGGTATCTGAGTGGCTTAAAAGTACAAGAAAACACTTCAAAAGTGACGTTTCTGAAGAATTTTAACAGTTTTCTTGTATCTACGAACGCCAGAATGCATAAAATTGACCTAAACGTCTCCTTTTCCTATTCTGAGTCGATTCTGCATGCTTTAAGTGTGTTTGGTGGCTCAGAACCATCAAAAAACGTTGAAATATAGTTCAAATTCAATAAAAATCGACAAAAATACAGTTTCTAGCTAAAATTTGATGGTTTCGTTGCACTTTCCGAGCACGTAGGGTATCTGAGTGGCTTAAAAGTACAAGAAAACACTTCAAAAGTGACGTTTCTGAAGAATTTTAACAGTTTTCTTGTATCTACGAACGCCAGAATGCATAAAATTGACCTAAACGTCTCCTTTTCCTATTCTGAGTCGATTCTGCATGCTTTAAGTGTGTTTGGTGGCTCAGAACCATCAAAAAACGTTGAAATATAGTTCAAATTCAATAAAAATCGACAAAAATACAGTTTCTAGCTAAAATTTGATGGTTTCGTTGCACTTTCCGAGCCCGTTGGGTATCTGAGTGGCTTAAAAGTACAAGAAAACACTTCAAAAGTGACGTTTCTGAAGAATTTTAACAGTTTTCTTGTATCTACGAACGCCAGAATGCATAAAATTGACCTAAACGTCTCCTTTTCCTATTCTGAGTCGATTCTGCATGCTTTAAGTGTGTTTGGTGGCTCAGAACCATCAAAAAACGTTGAAATATAGTTCAAATTCAATAAAAATCGACAAAAATACAGTTTCTAGCTAAAATTTGATGGTTTCGTTGCACTTTCCGAGCCCGTAGGTTATCTGATTGGCTTAAAAGTACAAGAAAACACTTCAAAAGTGACGTTTCTGAAGAATTTTAACAGTTTTCTTGTATCTACGAACGCCAGAATGCATAAAATTGACCTAAACGTCTCCTTTTCCTATTCTGAGTCGATTCTGCATGCTTTCAGTGTGTTTGGTGGCTCAGAACCATCAAAAAACGTTGAAATATAGTTCAAATTCAATAAAAATCGACAAAAATACAGTTTCTAGCTAAAATTTGATGGTTTCGTTGCACTTTCCGAGCCCGTAGGGTATCTGAGTGGCTTAAAAGTACAAGAAAACACTTCAAAAGTGACGTTTCTGAAGAATTTTAACAGTTTTCTTGTATCTACGAACGCCAGAATGCATAAAATTGACCTAAACGTCTCCTTTTCCTATTCTGAGTCGATTCTGCATGCTTTAAGTGTGTTTGGTGGCTCAGAACCATCAAAAAACGTTGAAATATAGTTCAAATTCAATAAAAATCGACAAAAATACAGTTTCTAGCTAAAATTTGATGGTTTCGTTGCACTTTCCGAGCCCGTAGGGTATCTGAGTGGCTTAAAAGTACAAGAAAACACTTCAAAAGTGACGTTTCTGAAGAATTTTAACAGTTTTCTTGTATCTACGAACGCCAGAATGCATAAAATTGACCTAAACGTCTCCTTTTCCTATTCTGAGTCGATTCTGCATGCTTTAAGTGTGTTTGGTGGCTCAGAACCATCAAAAAACGTTGAAATATAGTTCAAATTCAATAAAAATCGACAAAAATACAGTTTCTGGCTAAAATTTGATGGTTTCGTTGCACTTTCCGAGCCCGTAGGGTATCTGAGTGGCTTAAAAGTACAAGAAAACACTTCAAAAGTGACGTTTCTGAAGAATTTTAACAGTTTTCTTGTATCTACGAACGCCAGAATGCATAAAATTGACCTAAACGTCTCCTTTTCCTATTCTGAGTCGATTCTGCATGCTTCAAGTGTGTTTGGTGGCTCAGAACCATCAAAAAACGTTGAAATATAGTTCAAATTCAATAAAAATCGACAAAAATACAGTTTCTAGCTAAAATTTAATGGTTTCGTTGCACTTTCCGAGCCCGTAGGGTATCTGAGTGGCTTAAAAGTACAAGAAAACACTTCAAAAGTGACGTTTCTGAAGAATTTTAACAGTTTTCTTGTATCTACGAACGCCAGAATGCATAAAATTGACCTAAACGTCTCCTTTTCCTATTCTGAGTCGATTCTGCATGCTTTAAGTGTGTTTGGTGGCTCAGAACCATCAAAAAACGTTGAAATATAGTTCAAATTCAATAAAAATCGACAAAAATACAGTTTCTAGCTAAAATTTGATGGTTTCGTTGCACTTTCCGAGCCCGTAGGGTATCTGAGTGGCTTAAAAGTACAAGAAAACACTTCAAAAGTGACGTTTCTGAAGAATTTTAACAGTTTTCTTGTATCTACGAACGCCAGAATGCATAAAATTGACCTAAACGTCTCCTTTTCCTATTCTGAGTCGATTCTGCATGCTTTAAGTGTGTTTGGTGGCTCAGAACCATCAAAAAACGTTGAAATATAGTTCAAATTCAATAAAAATCGACAAAAATACAGTTTCTAGCTAAAATTTGATGGTTTCGTTGCACTTTCCGAGCCCGTAGGGTATCTGAGTGGCTTAAAATTACAAGAAAACACTTCAAAAGTGACGTTTCTGAAGAATTTTAACAGTTTTCTTGTATCTACGAACGCCAGAATGCATAAAATTGACCTAAACGTCTCCTTTTCCTATTCTGAGTCGATTCTGCATGCTTTAAGTGTGTTTGGTGGCTCAGAACCATCAAAAAACGTTGAAATATAGTTCAAATTCAATAAAAATCGACAAAAATACAGTTTCTAGCTAAAATTTGATGGTTTCGTTGCACTTTCCGAGCACGTAGGGTATCTGAGTGGCTTAAAAGTACAAGAAAACACTTCAAAAGTGACGTTTCTGAAGAATTTTAACAGTTTTCTTGTATCTACGAACGCCAGAATGCATAAAATTGACCTAAACGTCTCCTTTTCCTATTCTGAGTCGATTCTGCATGCTTTAAGTGTGTTTGGTGGCTCAGAACCATCAAAAAACGTTGAAATATAGTTCAAATTCAATAAAAATCGACAAAAATACAGTTTCTAGCTAAAATTTGATGGTTTCGTTGCACTTTCCGAGCCCGTTGGGTATCTGAGTGGCTTAAAAGTACAAGAAAACACTTCAAAAGTGACGTTTCTGAAGAATTTTAACAGTTTTCTTGTATCTACGAACGCCAGAATGCATAAAATTGACCTAAACGTCTCCTTTTCCTATTCTGAGTCGATTCTGCATGCTTTAAGTGTGTTTGGTGGCTCAGAACCATCAAAAAACGTTGAAATATAGTTCAAATTCAATAAAAATCGACAAAAATACAGTTTCTAGCTAAAATTTGATGGTTTCCTTGCACTTTCCGAGCCCGTAGGGTATCTGAGTGGCTTAAAAGTACAAGAAAACACATCAAAAGTGACGTTTCTGAAGAATTTTAACAGTTTTCTTGTATCTACGAACGCCAGAATGCATAAAATGACCTAAACGTCTCCTTTTCCTATTCTGAGTCGATTCTGCATGCTTTAAGTGTGTTTGGTGGCTCAGAACCATCAAAAAACGTTGAAATATAGTTCAAATTCAATAAAAATCGACAAAAATACAGTTTCTAGCTAAAATTTGATGGTTTCGTTGCACTTTCCGAGCCCGTAGGGTATCTGAGTGGCTTAAAAGTACAAGAAAACACTTCAAAAGTGACGTTTCTGAAGAATTTTGACAGTTTTCTTGTATCTACGAACGCCAGAATGCATAAAATTGACCTAAACGTCTCCTTTTCCTATTCTGAGTCGATTCTGCATGCTTTAAGTGTGTTTGGTGGCTCAGAACCATCAAAAAACGTTGAAATATAGTTCAAATTCAATAAAAATCGACAAAAATACAGTTTCTAGCTAAAATTTGATGGTTTCGTTGCACTTTCCGAGCCCGTAGGGTATCTGAGTGGCTTAAAAGTACAAGAAAACACTTCAAAAGTGACGTTTCTGAAGAATTTTAACAGTTTTCTTGTATCTACGAACGCCAGAATGCATAAAATTGACCTAAACGTCTCCTTTTCCTATTCTGAGTCG